AAAAAAAAAGTTTCTCAGGCTTTGGAGCAAAAACAATCTTAGCAATTCTGGCGACTAAGGCAGGTTGAAATATTCCTTGTTCATGTGAGGCTGTGGAAGATTTATTTCCTTTTGCATGTTTCAAGCCAGGTTCTCACAGCAGGCCGTCAAAAGCCTACAATTTCCCCCTATTTCTTTGGATTGATGGTCATGTTGGGGTTAGAAGAAAGCACTGAATACCCAAACGAGTTGCTTGCTTTGTGCTTCCACCCTCTCTTCCCCATGAAAATTTCCATATCTCATTGCTATTCGTGTTCATTACAATCAAGCAGGACTCGGGAAGGGGAGCTGTTGGCAAGTGTGGCATCAAATGTGCTTCCTTTGACTGGAATATGGCCATGGAATGATGAATGGGAATTAATGCTGTCAGCTCTCATCAGCTCTGTCGTAGTAGGATGCTAATACTATTTTACACTTTTCACTCCTGAAAAAGGCCAACTAATGATCCCTACAAAAGTGGGAGTGCTACCTAGAGTAGTTGTCGAACTCGAGCGCTATGCCCAGTAGAACAACGTAAGTGAATCTCGTTTCCAAACTGTGACAAATGCAACTGTAGCCTGTGTGACAATTCTGTTATTCCTTCCAAATATAGCCACAGTCTTCAATTTTGGCTTGAGTTGTCAAAAGTCAATACGTTTTTGGATTTCAGGAATGTACCGTCGTATGCAGCTTGACAATGAAACTAATGCGTCACCATCGGTTTTTCCGACATAGGATTTTTTCCCAATATGGTGGGGTCCCAAACCACTGCGCAGGACTGACGTGCCAGCCTGTCATCATACTCAGGAGCGGATGTAACGTGGAGGGTCGACTGCCCTTTCCCCCCCTTGGATTCATGGGGGCAAATGCCTTACGTGAGTGCTCAGAGCTTCCGTGGGGATCCATCACGTACTCGGAGGATTCCATGCTTACTTCCCTTCTCTCTCCATCCCTTCTCATGCCCTCTCCCTATGAAAAATTAGTGGAGCCACCATTTCTAGCGTTTCTGTTCTTTTGCTGTGCCAGGCAATCAAAATCACGACATCCCACATCAATTTTGATTTACGTATTTCTACTGTCGTGAATTGGGAAGGTCAAGATATTCCTTGAGGTACTTCAGTAAAAAAAAAAGTTATTACAGCGCATCTTTATATGCACTAAAATCACGACATCCCACATCAATTTTGATTTACGTATTTCTACTGTCGTGAATTGGGAAGGTCAAGATATTCCTTGAGGTACTTCAGTAAAAAAAAAAAGTTATTACAGCGCATCTTTATATGCACTCGTCGTTTTATATTTTTGTCTGCAACAAAAGTACTCTAGGATTAGTATTTAAAATACTCTCACTTTCGTCCTTCAAATAAAAATATGTGAGCATATTGCCCACATCTGGCGTATAGACACCATTTCTCTCGACCGTCATTCACTGAACGTCAGAGGACAACTGGAGAGAGTGACCATTACCGACTGAAAAACTTCTGAGAAAGAAAAGAAAAAAATCCTGTTGGCTCATCCTTTATTGAGGAGAGTGAAGGATTTATGGAGGAGGGATTACCCAAGTCGTGATGAGCTCGGAGTCCGCGCACGGCGGGGAAGAGAGAGCATTGAGAATAGAGGCGGGGAAAGGAGGATTACGCACACATTCACATACGCAAGCAGAGAGCGAGTCCAGTTCCATTCTTCAGACACAATTCGGGTTAGTCAGGTCTCTCACGGTTCATTATGCAATTGCCGGCGGACTCGCCAGGGTTCCTGTTTACCGCCCACCTTCATCGGCTCCCCACAAACACAAACAGGCTCTCACCGGACGGAGCGATACCCTGAACACTTGTGTCACTTCCCCTTTCGTCGATCTGAAGGTCCACCTTTCTCCTCTCGCCCATGGTCATCGGTTCGGTCAGTGTGTGAGATCAGTGTGTGAGATCGTGAACGAGAAACTTCGCTCCACTAAGACGATGAAGAGGATGAGATTCCTGCAGGTCAGTCCCTTCCTTCCATCATACTTGGCATGTTGCCTGGCACAGCTGCGGGAGCGAGCAGTCCGATGTCAAGGTTCCATAATGGAAGCCACCCCGGAGTGCAGAACAATACTGATTCTTTTTCCTCGTTACCCACCGTAACTAACGGCAACAATCTTCCATAAAAGGGGTTCCGGGCCATTTCAGACCTGCATAGTTTCGGGATTGTGAAATACTAGAATTGTCTCACGTGTGAGTTTCGTCGTAGAACTTCTACCCCACACGGAAGTGGATGGGGTCGTTAAGCGTGAAGAAAAACTCTCCGAAGCATACCATGGACCAGTGAACCGGGATGGAGATAGTATGACATGGTTTTTCGCTTCTCTCGGCAACGATATGTGGGAACGTAATAACATCGCCCCGTTTGCTTCACGTTCTCGCGAATCGAAAAGAGTCGTACAGATAATGGTTTACATTTGGCGGTGAAAGTGTAGGAATGACGAATACGAAGGGTGGTAGCGAGGACTAATACCAGAATGCGGATCTCATTATGCGATGGATGGACAAAATACTAACAAGTGTTCCCTTTCCTACCTTTCACATGATTACTCACGACGCATCTTGAAAACTTGAGTTTTGATGTTTGCGTGAGGTGATTAAGTCAGCCGACTCATCAGCACTACGCATTCAAAAATCGAATACGGCAGTGCGCCGAAGCAAGGGGCTTGGTAAAAGACTCGGGGTGGCAGGGAACGATGGAACGAAGGAACAGCCAAATCCGACGTGCATCATAAACAAGAGTTAGTGTAGCTGTTTTCTCGTATATCAAGGACTTCCGTACACTTCAATGAACATCCGGCTCCCGGCTCGCATCGCTGATCGAAGGCTCTCCAGTTTGTCGAATGAGTAGCATGTCAACTTTAGGCAAGCATAAGTCTTTATGCAGGCTGGTATGCCGTGAATGCCTAGTCGCAAGGTATAGAGTGCATATATGCTCCTCAGCATAGAGACATATCGACGCCTCCATATATTATACATTTGCCACATCATACAAGTTACCCAAACGCGGGATGACCCCTGGTCTACTTCTTGATCATTCCACAGCCTGCCACGTGCGGAATCGAAACGGTTTCATACAGTTCAGCAGGAAATGATGTTCTCTCCCCTACAGATCAGTCAATGAGACACGTGGTATTTCAATAAGCATTCCAAATTCAATCATGTTTTAAAGGTCTAATGGACTTTATATTTCACATTACTTGACATGTGATCGTGACGGTGTGCGATGTTCCACCGATCGCGGCATTTTGGATCGGGTATTACAGAACCGATTTGTGCACCCAGTCGTGCGTCGTAGGGCGTACGTTCAGAACGACTCATTTCCTTGCCACAATACTTTCGTGCTACCCCGATCGTCTCACTCAAATTTTATCAGTGGCATAAAAAGAACGAGGATGAAGCGTACTTTCTGCAGTGCTCTTTTTCATACAATCTAAAGGAGTTGGGGTGGGGGAGGAATAATTTCTTGTCATCCGATATACTATATTTGGTGTGCGCCGCGCCGTTAAGGATTCTTGTCTTTCGCAATGCAACCGGTTAGCTGATAATTGTTCCCGATTCTCTGCTGTCTCCGTTGAAGACAATAATTATCGCTCTAACCATCGGATAAAGCACCGTTGTTCCGCGTACAATGGGGATAATTGCAGAGCAGCTATTAGCCTCTCTTTCTCGCCCTCTGTTAGTCACAGTATCATTGACTTTAAAATTCTCTACGGGTAGACTAATTGAAGATGTGAGACAGGGTCAACGTAAAGGTGGAAAAGAACCGAGATGAACAGGATGTGGAAGAGACGAGTCTCAATTTCCCCCCCCCCTTTTTTTTTCTCCTTTTCAAGTCTCGAGTTTCAAAATGAAATTCCTTCCGGTGAGAGAGGGGCAAATCTTCATTGTACTCGTAGGGCATTCTCTGTAAATGGGAAAGCCTCTGAGGCTGCTTCCCTCGTGGGTTCTCAGTTCAGGTTTTTATTCCAAATAATGATTCTGAAATGTCCACCAGTGCTTTGGCGGATTCCGTCAATCCGCTGGGTCTTCCAAACTAAACTTCAGGTTTCGGCCCAAAATCATTACAGCACCTAAGTACAGCCTCTGATCGAATATAGTCCCCTCTTTAATAGCTGATTGGTAGGAACTGAAGGCTGCTGTCTGTGGCATCGTGTCTTTCGCAAACGCGCAAGCAGACGGCATTATTTCATTCCTAAACGCTCCGTTGTGAGTTTTCCATCGAACGGTCCAAGGTGTCACCTCGAGAACGTACAGGGATCGGCCACTTTTTCAGGACAGAATTACTAGAAAACGAGGAAGAAAAAAAAGATTTAAGGAACGCAAAAGCACGTTTCTGACCGGGTAGGCTAACTTCGAGGGGAGAAGGGGCTATGGAAAGGGTATCGGATATATTCCAAGTATTTCTACATGTTCCTAAAAAATAAAATTAGTATTTCCTTTCTAAAAGGCTTTCAATCCCTGGGCCCGTATGAGTTGGTATATGCCCTTCCTTTTTTTTGATTGCTCGTCATATGGGGAGTCTCATTTATAGATACCCCACTAATTATTTATTGAGGAAGGATGTTGTTTATTTGTGTGCCTCTACATGTCGACCATCTGTGTCCAAGCACGCAAGCAATCTATTTACCGTTTCTGTGAACACTTTGTCCAACAGATGCGGTGTAATGCATATTGTGACAATAAATGATCACGTAAACACGGCCCTTGAGGTAACTCCATTGGAAAAAATCAAGGGGAGTTAAATCAGGTAACCGAGGAGGCCAGGACATGGTAGTGTAAAATATCCAGTGATGGACCGGTTCCCAGTGATGGGCCACAGCACATAACATTCCAGCAACTAAGCTTTTCTAGCACGCATAGCCCTGTGGCAACATAGCCCAGCAGCATGAAAGTATAAGGTAACTTGGGGGAATATGGCCATTGGGGTAGTATGGCCCTTCACAATGAATCCCCCAATGAATGAATAATTAGTTTGGGCGAATTTTAAAAATAATTCTATCGAAGAGTACATGCAATTGTCGAAATGTTTAGACCTGTTCATTAATCCAGTACTCATAGGAATTCGGGATACATCGATGTTTTGCATGGGATTCTTCAATTCATGACCCTGAAAATAACATGAGCCTTGAGCGACTTAAGCGTATATTTCCTAATAGCAGTATGGATACAGAAACAATTTCTTCAAAGTCCTTCTGTGGTCCCTCCAGAATGCTGTGCAAAGTGCTAGCCCCTTCACTTGTGGTTTGCAGACAGTGTTGTCAAGTTTGTCATGCAAGCCAATATGGCCTTCTCAATTTGGGGTATTATGGACACATCCTTCATTTCATGTTAGCACCGCACTGACCTATTGGTAAATGTCAGCTTCCTTTTGCGTGGGATCTCAGTCTGCAAAAGATCATCCTATATACTTCCTCTGGATATATGGATAGACGTACTGGACATCTGGATGAAATATGCATTACATGAGGAGGCTGTGCATGAGGATATGCTCATGCACCACCTCCTGGACATCCGCTTTGTTTGGCATACTCCAGAAATTTTCGTGACACGAAATCTGAATGCAAGTAATTACCCCTCGTAAATAAAATGTTACAACGGCTTTTTGTGTTTTTTTTGGCACTACTTATCCATACATGCAAAAACTATGCAACGTTTTTCCAGCAGTACGTTTACCTCTTATTTTTCACTCGTAGCGCGTGTTCACTTTAAACTATGATTTATCACTCCTCTCACACCCACAGTCTCTTGATACAGTCTCCCAGTCACGTACAATGCTACCCAAAGCCAAAAGCGTTTCAAACCTGCTTTCCACAACAGGTCCTTGCGTCAGGTCGACGTCTTTAACTACATTGAGGACTAGCAATGTTTTTCTTTTTCAACTGTTGAGCCACCTTATTACGTTTCAAGGTTCTCAGCATGTTCCAGTATATTTCAGACGTACCTGGAAAACCTTGAGTTGTTTTTTGCGAAGTGGCCATATTTCCCCAACAATATGGCCTCTTGGGACCAAGTTGGAAAAGATCCAAAGGCGCAATATCCATGCGGTTTTTTGCATGTGCCTTGCTGTAAAGGAGATATGAATCAGTATTTTAGAAACATGATAAAAGTAAAATTTGACCTTGATGAGCCGTTATGATCAGGTTTCATTTTGTAAAGCCATATTCTCCCAAATTACCTTATCACTTCCGAGTTGTTCATGCTACATATGCTACTTTTTAAAAAATTTCCTACGCTGTGGCCCATCACTGGGTACAGGTCCTTAACAGTCTCATCATTGGGTGTTTTACTCTCCCTCTCCGGGATCCTCACCCGCAAAGATAAAGAATTTGCCATAAGAATTCCCCATGAGTAATTAATGGAGTATCTATAAATGAGACACCCTGTAATATTCTGCGATGACAGGAACTGTGCATCGTTTGAAAGCTAGATTATGATAGCACTCCATCGATTAGCAATTTACTGCTATCGTAGTACAGGATGTGCAAGTGGAAGTGCAAGTGAGGGGAGAGGATTGTCTCAGCTCAAAAATATCACGGGAAAATGACGTTTTTTGAAAATTAATATCAAGGTAGAGCAGTATAAGTCGATTGTCACCTTTGATTGGAATTTAGGAGGAACGTGGGGAAGTTCCCGCTGCATGATGTGGGGTATCCCCTGCGGGAAAGGGGAGTGGATGGTCGTAGGCCTGACAAAGTTAGGCTAAGGGCAACGGGAAAGAAGAGAGTTCCTACGACAATTATGTGTGCAATAAAAAAGTAAATAGCTAAAGCCTCGTATTCTTATTTTAAGGGCACACTTCACGACAATCGAAAGTGCGAGATAGCCGACCACTTTCTCAAAGGGTCTGAGGGGAATCCGCGAGTTTCGCAAGCATGGCTATTATCGGCCCGGATGCGAGCCAAAGAGGGGAGGACGTAGGGGGAAGGGGACCGCATTGTAGTGATAAGAGGGGAATCCCAGCTTCCAGTTGGAAAATCCCCGCCTCCTCCCCACAATTCTTTCTCTTTACGTCATTTGGGATTACGTCATGGTCAAACATCACGTTTCTCTCAACCGGTTCTTCCTTCATTTACTCTGGAAACACTGATGTTCGTTCAAAGATATCCAAATAGAAAGATACGGTTATTTAGATAGCGTCTGTCGCATTCGGATAATCTATTCGTTGATGTGGCTCATTCCCACAGTTCTTGGTGATCCTTACGGTGGCTTTCTTCATCCAACGACTGGAGGCGAGACCGGCAGCGCCCGAGTTGGCCGATCATGTTAGAGCACCTACTCTAGGGTAAGTATTTGGTTTGGGGTACAATACACGAGGTAGAATGGAGGGGAGGAGAGGAACGAACATTCCGAAGTGACGAAGCTCAGGTTTGAGTGAATTGTTGCTTCTCATCTCGAGGTAGCCAATCCTTTCAGTTTTCCTTTACGTGGGTTTCCTTTACGGGTTTATCTCGTGGAATCGTGTTAACCAATGCCAGTGTTCTGAGAAATCGCTAGTTTTTTTTTAAATCTTTTATTATTTTTCTTTTCGAAACAGAGCCCTGGTACTAAGAATTTTGCGGAAGTTTGGGGAATTCGGACCTCCACTCATCTACGAGTGCAAGGGATGGTTTTGCAAGGACTGATCTCTTCTCATCTGCGGGGTATCATGAACACATTCCCCTCTCGACTCAAACTTGAAGAAACCCTGACTGAAAATCGTTTCAATGCTACAATCCCCGTGCCAAAGGATACGTTCCACAAGTGATACCTTTGGACAGCTTCGTCCTTTATATCATCATCATCGGCCATCTCATTGTTCGTGAATGAAAGCTTCTTCGTGCTGGTGACCATGGAATAAAATGGAACTAAACGAAGAACAAAGCGTCGGTTTTCTGGTTGCTATGTCCATACTGGGATCGTGTTTTGTACATATCACATTTACTCTCTTAAGCTCAGAGGAATGCGAGTGTTGCTGCTTTATTGGAACATTGTCCCGGAAAAATACTCGATAGAGATTGCTTCATACTCCATTGGGAAAATAACATGCTAGCGTAACTGTCGAAAGACTCAGGAAACTAATACAACCTCGCAGTAAGGCCAAATGGAATTGCCATTAAAAACTCGTTTAGAGCGCTTCCCGTTAAGTGATGACAAGCCAAAGACGAAGTATAGAGAGTGGAGGAGAGAGTCAGAAGCATGGATAGGGAGAAAAAGCAGGCTGACCAGGTAGCGGATTGCGTCATCTCCCTCGACCAAACCAGACTCTCTCCCTCTAACGGAAAAGTGAAATGCGATGAAAAGAGAGTTTATGGACATATCTATTCTTTCTGGAGACAACTCCTTCCATCTCAAACGAGCCTTGTCGATCGAGTAAATTTGATCTGAAGTGAATTGTTGTTCTTCCTGTGCGCGACAATATCATTATCGAAATACGCCAAGAAGCATAATCATTGCCATGGAGTATGATATGCTTTAGAAAATAGAGGTATAAATTGCAGGGAACTGTGATAAATTGATAGCCTGCTCTTCAAATGGTAGGGTATGACAAGAAGAAACAAGGAGTTAAATCAGAGATATGTTGCTAATGTTTCAAAGGTGATTTAAACACAGGCGTTGTATGGTCATAGCATCGTGACTACAGCTTCTCTGTCCTCTTTCTTTAAAAGAAAGTCGTCCAAAGAAAGAGGAAATTTGGTAGATTCAACCCTGTTATTTCATGTTGATGAATGCGATGAAGTCCGTTTCCCATAATCAAGGCAATTCCTTCTTCCATGCCATCAACGTACCTTCTGAGAGAGAGAGAGAGTCAGGCACAGATAGGTATCTCACATAATCGAAAATCTTGCACCGAGGATATGCCGGCTTGGGACCTAAGTGCCATTTTTTGGTACCCTGCAGATTACAGTGCGTCATACCAGTTGCAGAGACTACACGGCAGGGAATAAAGGTAATGGGTAAATGTCATCTGACGAGTAAGGTTTCATGTTGGATGCATTTTGCTCACCCTGCAGATGTCGCCAGCCTCAAGTACAGCCGGGCCCTAGATAACCAATGTATGGACGGTCTTAGTACGGACTGTTTCTGCCATTCGTTGATTTGGTTCATTTCTGAGCACCGAGCAGGATGAACCATGAGAAAGAAAGGGATGAGAACCGAGATGGCTCCTGCAGAGGGAGTCTTCAGAAGCTTAGTTATCGTATTGCAAAGCAATCCGATACGTCCATAAAGAAACATTTGACTCGGGGCGTGCGCCTACCGTCAGAATTCTGGTCCATACCAAATAAGTCCAGTCTACTTGAATTCAGTTGAGGCTTCATTATTCCAGAAAGAAACATTGAGAGATATCAAAACTAAATAATATAACAGCAGGAAGAGAAAAACATTTCAGAAATGCGTACAGTCTAAGAGTAGTATGTATCACAATGGGCCAGCCATGTTTTTCCAGCTGATTATTTTGATATACCGAGTCTGTCTAGCTTCTATGATAAATCGCAGCAGTAGGATCACAATCTTTCAAAAATGCCAGCAGTCTTACCACAATGGGCAAGTCATGTTTTTTTCCCCCCGGTGATTATTCTGAAAATCCGCGTCGGTTTGGTCCGATAATGAATCGAAGCAGGAACATCACTATATTTCAGAAATGCGACGCATTTATATTCATTTCGGATATTTTATTTATGATGAAGGCTTTCCAGCTGCGATAACGAATTGCAGGAGGAAGAGAACTACATTTCTAAAATTCGAAGGTTTAGAGAAGTATCACGATTGACGCACACCTAGGGACAAAACCAATCCTTCGGCGATGATGCTGAAAAACCACGTTAGCCAGGCAATGAGGATGAATCACAAGAATGGCAAGATATTTCTTTAAATGCCTCCAGACTTTCAGAAGTATCACAGTTGCGCCCTATGTATCAAACAGGGCTAGTCATCTTTTTCCGATTATCCTACATATCACGTCAGTTTACCTCCAATTTCGCAATCCAAATCGCAGCAGAAAGAAAATGACAGTTCGTAAATATGGACATGCTCAACTCGTATCACCGGTGTATCATGTACAAGGAGCAGTCAAATTAATTTCGGCGAATATCTTGAAAAACCAAGTCCAAGAGAAATACTCTTATTTTGAAGACATTTTCCTATAGCCCATACGTTGCATTGTAACCTCAGGAAAAAAGAAAAGAACTTTTTGGACACATCTTTTACAGGGTAGGGTGGGGCTAATCGGTCACGGCCTGTGGCTATTCGGTCAAACTAATGCCATACTAAGTTGTGAACATGATCGAGCCTCTCGAAGTGAAGATGGATATGCCTCGCGTGGACCTGGTCAAGGACACTTTCATGTTGGTGAGGATCGAGGGAGGACGCCAGGGAGCTTTTGAGCTCGCTACAGTGACCAATCTCAGCTGGAAAAACACGAGATTTCTGAAATCAGAAAGGCATTTGAGAAGTATAATCTGGGACCCACCATCAAACCGAGCCAGTAATATTTATTTTGCCTATTATCCTGAAAAACAAAGTCCTGGCTACGAGAACAACATGAAAACTTGTTAGGTTTAAAATCAGAACTGGTTTAACCTTTTCCATGGCAAATTAAAAGGGCTTGCTCAATAAAAATTTGACGTAAACTTTTTCCGTACTTCCAAAATCATGATATGCTAATGGAACTTTTGTGCCGGAAGTCTTCCCTTCCTTGCGGAAGCGGAGGAGAGAGCTGGTGTTGTCTAGTTAGTTGCTGCCTTGGTCAAATCAACGCATTTAAGGCGTCAGAAAATTCGCTGTACAACTTGTGGACCAGAGTTCACTTTAGAGTTTAGTCGAAAATCCATCGGTCTATTGTATCAAAACTCCCTCCATTAATACAGTCCTTTCAGACGGCTGAGCCCCTCTCTTCCTGGAATCGGTCTCGGTGAATGACTTCATTCACAACAGTTTCTTCAGTTTCTTGTCATCCACAACAATTCCTTTTGACGCAGAAGATAGATTTTTAACAACTATAAAAGACTGCTGGATGAAAGCGATTTGACAGAAATCCGACGTTAGATAAAAATGCATCACGTTTGGACAATATATCGCGAAGAGAGAATATTTTATGTGTCGGCGAAAAAATTGAAATCCGCCACTAAGAAAACAGAACTGAACAAAAACTAAAAGTGTGGGTTCGAGGGAGAAATAAAATGCAGCATACTAGGACAATGCAAAACAAGGGGCGAGACTTTTTCGTGATAACTACCCAGGTAGCACATAACAATGATTCGAGTGCTGATTTGGCGTGGATTGAATGCATCACATCCTTAAAGAGCGAGACTTTCTAGGGGCTACCAAGAAGCTGGAAAAGGGCTATTAGGCTTCGACGAAGTATCGCGGCCGGGAAAACACTCCAGAACGGGTTCTTACAAATGGGAAAATGTTTCACTCTTTGAAAAACGCATCACTATGGACCATTATTTCTTTATGCTAGCAAAGAAGCTAAAAAAGTGTTACCCCAGCTAGGATGAAGTTTCGCAGCCGGAAAAATACTCTAGAGCGAGATTCTGACAAAATTAGAAAATGTATGGGAAATGCATCACTACCCAAGTAGCCATGGGTGATCCAAAACTCGTCCATGGACAGTCCAGTTGTCCAGAGATGGATATAAGTCCTGAGGCAGTCTTCCGTTGGATGTATAGGATGCCACCACCATGGATCGATATCTTCTTACTAGCGAGTTTGTCTACACTTCGGGCAAACAAACTCGCTATGGTCGCGCCTTTGGCGCTCTATTACCTTGGATTCATTCATTTTTTGCGAAAAGGAAAACACGTATAAGGGTTAACCCCCTTATCCGGGCAAGGGGAGTCCATTGGACTCCCCAGGGTATATTTCATTTCATTACTCTCTGCAAATTTTTCAAAATATTCTCCAAATTTGATATGGGTTTCATAGACAGTCATCCATAGATTCAGAAACGAAATTTTAAAGTTTGGATTTGCTTTTAAGGAAAACAATTCTAAAAATGTTTGGCCTTGCCCGTTTGTGTCAAAAATACCTTGCCTGGATAAGGGTTAAAGTACGTCCCCATTGAAATACGTGATATATGGGGTCGAAAGTCTTGATTTTTTAAAATCAAAATCATTACCTCTATGATTCTATGTGTGCCTAACTTTAAATCTTTTCTTGTGTTCCTTTGTAAGGGTGGAGAATACATTTTGCAATACGTCCCTTCAATAATCTACGCTAAGGAGACATATTTCAAAATTAGGATTTTTCCTCTACTCAGCCATCAAACAGGTACTTCTGAGGGAAGTTTAAATTTTCTGTCTCTGTTTCGTTGGATCAAAAAAAAATCCAGGAAAACGGGAATGAAAAAGTGCCCTAATGGGTTTTAACGAAAATTTTTTTTCTTTTATAATGTAGACTCAGGGAACTCCATGCCACTCAGTTTCAGCCTTATACGTTTCCCCTTTTTGCTGGCGGAAAAAAAAATATATTTGGAAAAGCAACCCACCCAAAAGCTGCGCTCTGATGAGAAGTATGAAAAAAAATTTAATTTTTCCTTAAATCAACATCACGTCAGTGATGCGTGCGCCAGCTACTTTTCTATGTCTGCCCAGTGAACAAAGTTGTGCCCACAAAGTTTCCTTTCCATTTCTGTCCAATTCGCCACAATATTTTTTTCTTCAAAACATCGCACCTCGAAAAAATTCCCCCAGGGGATGAATCGAGACTTAACATTTTTATTTAACTCTTTGTCTCAGTAGTCACATTCATGCAAAGTTTCAGCTTTCCACGTTCATCAGTTTAACTGATGCAAAAAAAATAGTTTAAAACATCTCCCTTTGAAATTTGTGCCCCCCAGGGCATTTACTTCTAAAGTCTGAAGTTTTCTGCAGCATCCCAAT